ATAAACATGATAATATATATATATATGTGTTTTTGTAATCCATGCAAAGTAATATGAGCTATGGGATATATGAATATGAAATCATATGAGAAGTGAACTATGTGATATGAGATATGAAAGAGAAAGTACATATGATAGGTGAATCATATGAAAATGTTCTACGTGTAAGTGTACCATGTGTCTATATGTATATGTGATGTGTGATTTATATGACAGTGAGCTATGTGAAAGAACTATGAGACTACGTGTATATGTGAATGTGTGATAACATAATTATTAATGCCCATGTTATGTGACATGAGAGCTAGAGGTATAGTTGGCATGCCAAGAGTCGAGGGTCCATGTGGTCCTTCGGGACATATATGTATTCTTTGGAACATGTGTGAGGTCTTTTGAGACACATACTTGATCCTTGGCATATGTATATGGTTCTTAAGGAATTTTTTACGTGGTCCTTAGGGACAATCTTATATGGCACTTCGGTGCATTTCTACGCGGCACTACGGTGCAATTCTATGTAGCACTTAGGTACATTTATACGAGCTGTGGTGACAGCATAGTGCACAACCTCACAGTACTCACATACCTTAAGTTCTCAGTATTGTACATGGGCTAATAAAGAGATAATAGAAATAAATTTGATATGATTGTTATGTAATTGGGTGCTTGAATATGAGTGTAATGGTTGTATGTATTGCATATGTTATTATCTATGTTAAAAATTATGTTCATTTGATATGTTGGAATATAAGAGATTATAATGAACTTATATGATATGTTTCAAGTAATTACATGAGAAATGTTATGAATTCCATAAGTATAGTTATGATTGTATAGTGAGAATATACTTTGTAGAGGAACTAGTATAATAGAATTATACTTGGAAATGAGAATTTAGATAAATTAATGGAGATAAATAAATAGTACATCAAATAGGAAATATATATAGAAATAGGTTGTATAAAAAATTTCCATATGTTCCAATGAAATGATGATTTAAATCTGGTTCAATTCTTAAGTGATATAAAACATAGTACAAAGATCTAGGAAATGAAATCATATGAGAACATTATAGAAATTAAAATTGTAACAGGTTATGATAATATGTTTATGTGACAAATTGTGTGAAAAATGAACTAATAGAATATAAAGAATTAGTACACAAAGATATGATATAGAATATGTAGCAAGAGTCTATGAGTTATATGATAAATAGAAGTAATTGGAAATAAGAAATAAGATAGATGACTATAGTATATATATTATATGACTAAGAATTATGAAAAAGGGAATGAGTTAAAGGATAACAAGTGAATGTGTTATAAGCTGAGTAAGATAAAATAAATGATTTTATGAACATGAAACAATACACAATACTATATGATACGATGATATAATTGTATGTACATATTTGTTACATGAATGTGAATATGGGGTTTTATGATTTGATTGTAAGGAGTATGCATTAATTGTTAAGAGTTATAGTTACCTTGTACATTTTATGTGCCTCACTAAGTCATCGACTTAGCGTGTGAGTGTTTCACACGTAGGTTTCTGGAAGCAAATAGAGAAGCGAAGCAGCGATAGTCAAGGCAAGGCAGGTCAACCTCTTATTTCCTATGATCAGATCAGAAAAGAGTTTAGAATTATTTGTATTTGGTTATTGAAAATAGTTGGCATGTAATTAATGTTTTGAATTATATGCGCTATGATCAGTTTTGAAGATACTTTTATTTTAATGATATAAATTATGAGCTTATATTGAATAAAAGTGGATTTTTTTATATTGGTATACAAATATAAATTTTGAAAACTCAATGTGACATTTCGAACTCGAATTCAAATTAAATACGAGTTAGGGGTGTTACAACAGTGGTCCCCGAAGCCTACATAGTTCCGTCACTGAATATTGTTAATTATGATCCAAATATTTATAATTATTGATAAATGTATAAAATATAATTCGTAGTGCATCGAGTTACCAAAATTTGCTTTTGGGGTTGTTGACCCATACTTTTACGACGGTCCATGTGGTGTAAAAGATTTCAAAATTAATTTTATAATCGCCAATTGGCATATTAATTAATGGGATTCTGCTTACGTACTCATAACAGAGATTTCGGTTGCTAACTATTATAAAACATAAAAAAAAGAATACTTTATATTTTAATCGATTAAATTAACATAATATACTTAAATATTATTTTATAATAAAAATTTAAAATAAACATTTAAATATACCTTAAATTAATCATGCATATTATTGAGTAGATGAAGAATTCGAGTTTAAATAGATACGAGACGTGACACATTTGCCCATTAATAGAGTCAATCCTATCAAAAACAGAAATGTTGGGCTGTGAAATTTACAGGGACGAACTGGATTGTTCCAAGGGATTCATGCTGTCAATTTCTTATACTTGTAACGATGCTTAATTTGTTTATTTACTACTTGGATCAATGAAAGATACCTGGAACGTTATATTATTAGATTCAAGTTTTACTAACAAAACTGGAATCATTGACTTCCACTCAACACATTGCAGGTGGATCAGTGACGAAATCTCCATTATTAATTATGAAAAAGATGGATAAAGACTGGTTAAAACAAACCCAGAAATTATATGGCTATTTGGTAGAGATTTCATTGAGAAATATGTTCCTGTTACTGGTTTGATTAATAACTTTTGTGTTTGAAGAAACAAATTTGTTCTCCCTTCATGTTGCAGTTTATCAATTCTGTGCTTTGAGTTCGTATAAATTTCAGAGCACAGGCAAAATACTAAGGTTAATTTTGCAGAAACCAATGAATATATATATATATATATATATATATATATATATATATATATATATATATATATCAGTATACAGAATAGTTCTAATCCTATAGGTTACAAGTCACATAACTTTACCATATATGCTTAAAAATTTGAGTTAAGACGCTATCGATAAAATAAATAATTAACCGAAGAAATTCGGGTTTTAGATAGACGCGTGTATATCCTAAGTACACTGTGAGTCCGCCACTGTTAGAGGCTTAACCTTAAATCCAAAGCTAAGCTGGAAGAATAGGAAGAAGATGAGTGATTTTCAAGAGGAGCAGGCAAATTCAGGTCCAATCCATATTCTTCCTTTGGTGCCAAAAGGTTGAGCCCTTGGTTCAGTGATGTGTCATCGTCCCCTTTCTCCCAATGGCACCTCTTATGCCCACCCAAGGCTTGACCACTAGAGAACACCCTCAAGCAGATGCTGCATTTGTGACCCCAAACAATCATCAACTTACTAGCGTCTTCCACATTTTCTTTCGTCATGCTGTCGTCGTCATCGTAGCCGTCACTTCTTGTTATCGCGAAACAACCCTTGACGTTCTTGTGGCTAGCCCTGTGCCCTCCCAGTGCTTGACGTGACCCAAAAACCCTCTTGCAACTCGAGCACTCGAACCGGAAGTTTGCACCCAAATGTTCGGAAAAAGTCTCGGTTTCTTGAGCCCTGGGTTTATAACATGTACCGCATTTGCTCTCACTCGCGGGGGCACCATTAGCCAGCATCAATAAGGCTGCTGCAACTTCGTGATCATCCTCCGTCATCAAGGCCTCCGTATTATTTGTCGGTTTGACAGCCACAGGCCGGCAATAATTTTGAGGGGGGTTAATTCCACGCCACTGTCGCTCAGGGTGACATCTCATGTGTCCGAAAAGTGCTTTCCATGACCAAAACTTCTTCCCACATTCACTACAAGGCGGTGTAATCTTTGGTGCAGAAGGGTCGGGTTTTTTGGTATATTTAGGCCTGGAAACGGTGTTAGAACAAGCCGGGAATCCACCAACCCCAATCTTTATCAATTTGGAGCGTTTCTTTCGGGGCTTCGGATCGCAATTCACAGCATTGCTTGACGAAGAAGGCAAGCCAGGGATGCTATGTTGAGTGACAGAAGAAAGGAATCGAAATCCGGGATCAGATTCGGTGCTTTCATTCATTTTCAGAAGACATCAAAGAGACAATGGAGAGAGTTGAAAGTGGGAAAATTTGTGAATCGTGTTGACGGCCTGTTTATGTAGGAGTGTTGGCGGTTACCTGCTCTATGGGACAGGGAAGTTATGAAGTGGGCGGTTTTTTTCAGTTGGATGTCGGAAACATGGGTGGTTACGTTTGGATCATGCTTCACTGCTTTTCACCATGTTTAAAACGTGCTTTGCTGCACACGGTTGAGCCTACAAGCATTCAACTTTGTTCATGGACAAATAGCTAAATTTATTTACATTTTTTTATTTATAAAGGAGATAAAAAATATATCTAGTTTTAAAACATGCATGCCACGTATGTGTAGTGGTGTAAATAAACAAAAAGTTCGATGAACTGTTTATGGTTGTGTAACGTTTACATTTATTTAATAAACAAACGAACGCGAGTAAAAATATGTTTGATTTATTTATATTCATGAGCAAACTCGTTTTCAAGCTCGCTTATCGATTCGTTTATAAACTCATTTACCCGATTCTCTCTTTCCTTTTATTTTGTTATATTTAAAATATTGATGAAGATAACGACAAAATTGAACACAAAATTCGGAGTTCAAACTGTTAAGTCAAAGGAGCTTAAAGACTAGTGGCATAGTTTCACCATTTAAAGAACATGTTCACGGACACTAAACGACATGTTGGCGAATATGTTCGCAAACGTTAAACGAACCGAACAAAAACACTTTCAAAAATAAATAAACAAATACAAATTTGATATTAAAAATTCAAATGATCGTGAACCGAATATAAATACCGGTAAAATAAACAAACAAACAAACATTAACACGGATTTTAAGCCCAATTCATTTACACCCCCTATACGTGTCTCAAACTAATAATCTTACTTTATTTTGTTTTAGGGGAAACTACTTCCGAAAAATATGTCTTACATTTTGTATTAAGCCAAATCCTATACAGTTAATCCCAAAAGTCAAATAGAAAAGGAAGGAAATTTAACAGGAAGGATTATGCTTAATAGTAGAAAAAGAGGATCATTTCACCACAATATAACAGTACAACCAGAAATTGATAATTTCCCCTAGCTTTTGCTAAGAAAAATAAACAGAAGATAATCCATGTTCGTGCATTCACTCTCTAAAACAGGCTACAGCTTTTACCACACTTGCTACCTTGCAGTTTGGTCCCCTTTCATTTGCATGACTGATCTGTTTGAGTGAAGGGTGCTTAAGCCATCTTCGTAGTTTTCCCGAGGACGTTTAAAATGCCGACACGCTGCAATTCTTTCGCTGGGGACAAGGAAATGTTAGATTATATCAGATCCATGATGTATAGATGTAGTCAGGGATGCTAAAAGATCAAATAAAGGAAATGGATGGCACCATAGGAATGCCACTAATTCAAGCAAATAAATACTAAATCACGGCAGCTAACGAAGATTACAGACACCACACCACTTCCCAGTTGCAAAGGGTGGTATGTTATAAATATGGTATGCATTGAACTCGTAAAAGCCAAATAAGTTTAGGCATACTGTTTATATCTATACTTGCTGTAAAGGACGAAGCGCACACAGAGATGAATTACCTTCCTCCAGTGAGAGCTGAATTGATCTCTTTTCCAACTCAACAGCATGTCTGCTGAGTTCGACTGCAGAAAAACATCGAAGCACTGACAAGATAAAATGAATAGATCGTAAATCAGTATTATAACATTTTTTTTGACATGTTATAACCAAAAGATTAATTCATCACATGGACATACTTTGGGTATAATCCTCTAGATTGGATTGGTCCAACTTTTTCAGTAGCATCTGCAAGTGATAATATCGCTCTTCCCAATGAAGTTTACTAATTCCTTTCGGACTATCGCACAAAGGGGTAGTGGTAACAACTGGAAGTTGATTGGAGTCTAAGGGTGTTAATTTTGTAGCAGAATTCCCAAGAGGTAAAGGTACCGAAGGTTTGGCAGATGAACTTGTTAAGGATGCTTTCGGAAGTGGTGCAAATGCTGGAGAACAAGAAACTTTCGACTCCTTTATTCGGGATTTTAGTAGGCCAATTTCCTCCGGTTGTGTAACTTGCATCATCCGTTGGAAATTACTTGTGTCGGTACAATCAAAAGCACTGCTTTTGGCTAATTCGGTTTCACATTTTCTCCGGACATAGACAAGGTGTCCATTTGCAGCAGTATTGCTTGGAGATTGGCATTGTGAGGGGCTCAGAGGACATTCAGGAGATGCTCTCTTAGTTCCAGAGACCTTGATATGATCAATACGAAGTCCTCCATCTTTAGAAAATGGGGAGCTTCCAGTGGGGTTGTGTACAACCCTATTTTCGTTCTGGAGATCTCTCAACGGCGTCTTCTTTGCACCGACCGGACGTTGCTTACCACAAGTGGGTGAGTTATCCACTGGATTCATGAGTCCGTATTCACTGAATTTAGAGTCTAGCATTTGTTGAACCATCTGATGATGTTTGATTCTGGTAAGAAGACCGTGGTCATAATAAAATAATCCAAGTTAAACGAATAACTAAACAGATCGGTCCACCGAAGTATCAGTACTCGAGCTAACACTTGAAACCATATTAAAAATGAAATTCATCAAATTCAGCATCCATTCGGGTTTAACTTACTTTTCACAGCAATAGGAAACAAACTTCGCATCCCAATGACAATTGAACAAAGAATATTTTCACGAATAAATGACAGAATTGCAGATTACATCAACCAAAAGCAGAAATTAACAGACCAAAACAAAGAATCAAAGGTGAAGACGAACACGTGCACAATAACAGCAGCATTCTTTCAATTTCTTCGAATTACATCAACAATAAAAAAAGCACATTACAGATTGCAAAATTTTAAAGACCCAGTGACCTGAGTGTTCCATCTAACGTGTTAATCAAAATTTCGACATGGATTCTGCAAAATGAGTTGATAGAATATTACCCACTGAATCAGAATGCATAAATTTGAACAAAAATCGAAATATTCATTTAAGTCGATCATATTCCAACTACTACTCAAAATTACTAAACGAATGAAAGCGAGAAGGCAGGTGTTAAGGAGATTGAACTTCTATAAATGAAATAAGTGAAGAAAACCTAGAATTAAAACAAATTTGGACAATATATTTACCTTAGCTCATTCAAAACGCGAGGGAAGATGGAATATAAGAGAGACGCAAAGAAAGATAGGTTTCAAAAGCAAGGAACTTTGCCTCTCTAATCAAGCAGTTCAATTTACTGATTAGTCCTTGTCTATTTTTTTTAAATTATTTTTAAGTTTCTTTAATGGGTCTTGGGAATGTTCGACATGACACCCCTAATCTTTGGAGAATTTATTAAAATTCCCCAAACTTTTCAAACAATTGTTAATAGGTCAAATTATGGTTTGGCCCTTATTTGTTATTCAATATTTAATCCAAATACTTTAATTTAATATAATTTAATCATCTCATTGTTATTAGTGCTATGTCTAAGTCCAAATTAACAACATTAACAAATTCCATTAGTTGATTAGGAGTTCAACTTGAATAAAATTTAGATCTAACCAAAATTCATATAGCTACTAAAAATCGGGTGTCTCAGAATTTTTTTTTAAAATTACGTTGGCCAGATAATGTGGAATTTTAGGGAGAGAAAAAAAGACAGTCCAAATCAAGAGGCACTAAGTTGTAATTCAAATTAAGAGATCTTCAGACGGAGCATGCTACTAATTTACCATTCTTGCTTACAAATATAGTTGCCTAACTTTTAGGTTACTTGTATTTTGATCACCAAAATTTCAAAACTTACAATAAAATCATTGATCTCTTAATTCGTTTTCATTACAGTCACTATCGTGGAGTATAGTTAAATAATAATGACGATAAAGTTATTTCTTCCCCACTTAAATTTCTCAAACTTAAAATCGACAACCATCGTTCTAGGAGATTAAGATGGATTCTTTCTTCTCTTGATGATGTTCGGTAGATACTAAATTATTTTAATACGATAAGTGTTGTATTTAGAGATGACGATGATTAAAAAACAATGGATGGTAATGGTGTTAAAAGAAAAAGAGATCAATAGTTACTTGAAAAGCTTAAAACTTTTGATATAAGAAGATAACGCTAATGTGTCCCACTAACTAGTGGGTTAAAACATTAATAGAAACTACATTGTCACGAGTGAGGATATTCAGGATTTCAGCAGGGGGTCTTGGACTATCGAGAGACCCAGTTGGCTGTCTTTTCCCATGTGAGCTAGAGCGTCAGCAAGGGTATTAGTAGTACGATCGATATGGATAACCTTGATTCTCCATTGTTTTGCTAGGTATCTACGAATGCGTCGAATAATGACGTCACCGTGAAATCGCTCAGCTTCGGTGAGGCATCTCACCGGTTCACTATTGTCGATCTCTATCACTACGTTGCGAAAGCCACGATTCCAGGTGATGGCCAGTCCATCTAACACCGCCCAGAGTTCAGCTTAGAAAGTAGGGCAACAACCAATGTTTCTATAATAACCAACGATCCACGTCCAATTGCTGTCGTGAAGGGTTCCTCCTCCAGCTGCTTCGATCAAAGGGTGCTTAACTGCTCCATCCGTGTTTAGTTTTACTGTGTGGACATTTGGATGGTGCTGCCTCTAGATTCGCTGAAGCGTCTTGTTGCATTGTTTGCCTTTTGTCTCGTAATTGTAATGAAAATGAATTAAAAATTCAGTAATTGAATTATAAGTTCTAAAAGATGGATAATCCAAATCAAATGCATTAAAGTGCAGTGTTTTTTTTTTTGTATTTTACCCTAAATAATACGTTTCAACTGTAGTGGCCAAATTGGCGCGTAACCAAGAAGAACATCCATGGACATATATGAATACTTAAATAAATCTGTTGTTATAAATCGTATGATTAAATCAATTGATTCATAACACAACCTCTTCCTTGTTTTCAGGCTTCTGAACAAAAATCAAATGCTTGAATAGCCAAGTCGCAGTTCGACTTCATATTTGATTTTTGAGTAAAATTTACTGTAAGAATCCACAGAATCAGAAGGCAACAGAGAACATAAATTAACAAAGCTAGAAGCATCAAGTTCTTGAAATTAGGGGATAAAAAAGAATAATCCAAGGTGTATGTACATAGGCAAGATCCAAGACTGCATAGAGACCAATATCAAGTTCTCAGGGTATATCATATTGTTTACTAGCTCATTAAACAAGGTAAACATGACGGAAAAGGCATCGGCATAATCTGAGGTTTGCTAAGGCAGCAAGCTAAATCAACTAATCTTACACGTCTTACATGAGAGTTCTTGTTCAAATTTAAGAGCATTGATAATCTGAGGAGGAATTACAGCCCGGGATTCCCCAGAAGCCTCTCAACCGCAGCATGGACATTTCCAGCGGTAGCACGTAGTGCTCTGATATTCTCTACTGTATCATAGAAACCCATTTCTTGGAGTTGTGATAATTGTGTAGCATACAGTTCTTCTGGTGGAACTGGAAACAAACGAAGATAAAGTTAGTGGGGACCACAAAGTGTGTCGAATCTGATTCATAAAGACGCAGAAACATATAAGAATGCTAACCATCAGGTTGGTTGGGAACACTCAGGCTACCAGCACCTAGACCACCAAACATATTCATCAATGACTCCAGACCAGCAGTACCTGGGGCACCTGAAAATGCGATTAAACCAAATCAAGTGTAAAACATATACATGAAAGAAGTGTTGATAAAGGAAAGCGGCAAAGCAAATTAGAGAGAGACCAGGACAGTTCAAGTACTCTTTGTGCCCTTTGTTGAGAAAATTTATAAATACAGTTTGGACTCGTTTTTATTCTATACCTGTAGTAGCACCAGTCTGTGCTGAATCCCTGCAAGAAAGTCAAGAAGTTGTAAACATCAAACCATGAATCATAACAGCGCATTAAATGTGATCATCTTAGGATCACATTACCATTTAAAAAGCACAGAGAATTTGATTCTATTTAGAATTCTGATGATTTTAACAGCATCATGTATCGTACTAAGGACAACTTCAAAATGCAAGACTTGAGAGGCAATTGAGGCTTTTGTTACCAATAAAATAGACAGAGGTACTATGACTTACTGTGTTGACTGCTGTCGATTGAGCGGGGACAGAAGTGACTGCTGTAGAGCCAGCATTTGCTGCAAGAAATAAATTAACACAAGTACATTTAATGTCAAAACAGTACTTGAAAATAAATCAAATAATCTGATACCATCCAGCAGGGTAGTCTTAACATGCCTAGAAGACCATATAAGGTAGGTGACCTTACAGAAAAAGAAAGATCCAAAACCATAAAGTCATGAAAGCATTTAGCATTTATTAGGAGAGAACCCTGAGATGCAGACAGCATATAATATACCTGCATTGTCTCGGGGGAAAACATCTGACGAAGTACTTCCGGGTTTTGCATCATTTCTCTTAATTGAGGATTCAAATCAAACATTCCACGTAGTTGTGGGTTCATATTCATAATCTAAAAAGTAAAACAGATTCTTAATACAAAGGATATAAGCAAAATGAAAATCTCTTAACTGAAGCGATTCTCTGCAGTACCTGATTCATATATTGGGGATTAGATGCTAAGCTCTGCATCATTTGTGATACAGCTGGGTTTTGCAACAATTGAGTCAACTGAGATGCATCTGGCATTCCATTTAACATGGGCGGCATATCCGGAAGTCCAAGACCACCAAGACCTGGTGCCCTAGCATCCCCAGCAGGATTTGACCTTGCAGTAGCATTGGTCTGGGCCCCCCCTGAAAATTTGTAACACAATATTTCCAAGAAAATCAGAATTTAACACACTTGCAAAAGTAGTAAATTGCATTTAAAGACAAAAAAAGGTTTAGATATTCTACTTCACCATATATGATCTTTCATGCTGCAATTCTGGTGGAGTAGGACAAATCAGCTTTAACTTACAACACAATTTTTTCCTAAATGTAAAGAATCCCATCTATATTGGAAAACGTCAACCGAATAAAAGAAAGAGGAGATAAAAATAATTCAAAATCATGCAAAGGTGGACATATTGATTCCATGCAACCAAACAACCATACAGCATTCCATTTTAAACAATTCATACATTCTGGTTCAGTCCAATATATTGATTCCATGTAGCAACTGTGGTAAAAGATTATACAACACGTCACTTTACCTTACTGTACAACACTTCCAAATAAGAAAGAATTTGCCATTCATATTGCAAAATTCAAGAGAAAAGGGAAAAAAGCATAACCATTAAATCAAACATGCAAAGCAAACTATACTCCGATGACTCTCAATAAATCATTCACCCCACAACTGAATAAATTTGGTATGATGTTTCATTTCAAATATTGATCAAATCCACATAACCACAGTTACTTAGACCCTCAGCTTTTAGGAATTGCAAGAGCGCGTAACAAAAACAGTGCACATTGCAAAACAGAGTATGGCTAGACAGATATATAACAAAACTGAATAAATTTGGTATCATGATTCTTTGATTTTTTTTTTTCCGTCAAGCAGTATCATTTTGGATTCTACTCTGCCTTTCTTCTGTACAACAGGAATTGCAAGAGCATATAACAAAAAAAGTGCACATTGCAAAACAGAGTATGGCTAGACAGAAATATGCTTTAAACGTACAGAAGGCTGAAACTTACCACCACCAACAGTGTTGCCCCATGGGTTAGGAAGAGGATTTGTGTTTGGGTTAGTTTGTCCCTGAGTCGTTTCAGAACCATGTGCAGAAGTGTTGTTAGGAGAGGCCCTAGCTTGAGAATCACCTAGATTGCCCAATAAAGCTGCAAATGGGTTTGTACTTGGATTATTTCCATCGTTTCCAGTCGTAGCATTCATAAATGGTTCCTGAACATTTTCATACATACGCCTGAGCATGTTAAACCCCTCAGGAGAGGATTCAATATTACTCATAGCCCTGTCAGTGTTTCGCATCATTTCACGCATGAGTTCAGGGTTCCTTGCAGCTTCGAATGTCTGTCGAAGAATGCTAGGATCATTAAGTATATGCCCAAGCTCTGGATTCTGATCAATGATCTCACGCATTTGGGGATTGCTTGCAATCAAACTACGCATTAACTCTGGGTTATTCATCAAACTTTGAACAGCAGGTGCATTCATTAGTTCGCTCATCATGTTCGGATTTTGAGTTAGTTGTTGCTGTACTTGCTCAAATTCGGGAAGTCCAGATCCAAACAAACCAAAACCTCCATTTTCACCAAGTGCATTAAGTCCAGGGAATGAGGGTACCCCCACACCAGCACCCTCATTAGAACCAACACCTCGTGTGACCCCTGGTGTAGTATTAGGAGTTCCAACATTTGTGGCAGCCGTGGGAGGTGGTACAGATGAAGATGGGGCAAAACCACGAACCATGTGGACAGTATGATCAGCTTGCAAACCTTAAATAAGGGCGAAGACAGTGAAATGGTTGAGCAGTCGTTAAGTATTTGTGCAAAATCTAAATCTGGGTGTATAAATTACAAAGTCACATTTAGCCCTCGTATGAAATAGATTTATCTTCTAAAAGTAATCATTATATAAACATTAATTTACAAATTTTAGGCATCAATGTATCATGATAGTGAATAGTGATTAATGAACATATTACGATAAATATATCATGATATTTATCAAATACAGTTATACTAGTCACTTTTGTTTTAAGATCTCCTGTAAATGTTCTGTATAAAGAAAGGAAATATTCAATGTAGGATCCCACATGTGTATATATATACCGACAAACATGCACATAAATACACATCATACATTTTCATATGTTCTGAACCACCATTTTAGATGACTAACTCTTAAGATAAAATGGTGAACATAAAGAGGTGGGCAGTATGTATTAAATACAAAATACAATTGATGTAAATTGCTTAGCTAAAAGAACAAAGGGCATAGCAAGCACAAGCACATGACATCACAATCTCCATCCATCATTAAAGAGTGCCTTACACCAGATGTTAAATAACTTCATACCTTTCCAACCTCCCTCAGCTAGGAAGTAAAATCAGCATAACTCATTAACCAAATAAAACAACATCAGTTTTCAACGACTGGCAAAATCAAGGTTAGTAGTAATTGCTTAGGCTTACAATTCCTCTTTCTTCAAGCTACATGGATATAGCCATCTAACAGACAGCACATGTGATCGTGTCACACAATCTTCAGTAACTCCAAATTAGGGAATAAATATATGGCCATCTAAACCAGCTAAAATACAACAAAATAAAAAACAAACCACCAAAATCACCAAATTATCAGAGTAACAACCTAATTTGGTAGATTAAGCATTCTGCTGATACTTTCAAAGCTTACAATTTAGTACTTCGTTCTAGAAGTTTCACCATTCTCGGTTATTTCTTATATTTCTACCAAAATGGAAATACCCAAAAATTGAAAACGAACCTAAAATGAATTAAAAAAAAAAACTGAAGGCGATTAAAACTTACCATAACTTTGAAGAGTTTGGCCATCCTTCAAGATTCGCCCTTTATAAATCAAACGTTGCTGATCAGCTGGGACATCGCAATTCTGAGCCAAAACAGATTTGAAAACTCCAACAGTTGATTCGAGGCTGGTCCTCACCGTAAATTTTGTACCATTCGAGCAGCGGATGTTGACCATCACTCCCTCACCTTCTCCTTCATTGGTACCGACTCGTGACTCACTCGAATCGCCTTCCGTACCCATACCCTCCCTCTCTCAGATCGATCAAAAAAAACGTAACCCTAGAAAATTGGATAAATACGAGAAAATAAATTCCTTTCCCTTTCCTCTTAAATAGTTTTGCATGTATTTCCTCTGTTTTTAGGGGATTGAAGTAAATCTGAAAAGGAACAGAACTATTAATGAATTTGGGAGAAACAAAATAGAAAAGGATGTTTAGTTTTGAAGGAAAATGGGGTTTCCAATAATTGCAAATGATGTTCTGTTTGGGTTTACATTAAAGAATAGGAATACAATCTTAAAGATGAACATCAAGAGGTACCAAAACCAGCATTTAACCTTTCAAATGATGTTTCTATTACTATTAAGTCAATTATATGATTAGCACCTATACTATGCATAAATTATGAATTTAGTCCATGTACTCTCATTTGACCAAAATTTTTTGAATTCGGATCAAAACTTTAAAACCTAAAAATCATAGAAAGTAAAAATGATCGAATTAAGATACATAAATTAAATTCACAATTTATATATATAATATAATCAAAAATTTAAAACCATATTATTCGATTGCATAAATTTTCAAAAATATTAATAATAATAGACAGAATTTTATGGTCAGAGTAAATTTATTAAAATCATAACTTAAAAAGATTTTGGAGATCGAAAATATATTTTTAACAAAAAAAATATAATAATATATTTAAAATATATGTGAATTTGAACATTTTAGAGAACAATTGTTCCCTCTTACTCCCCCCTCTTACTCCCGATCTATTCCTAGAACACCTATCAATAAATGTGAACGGAGAGCACTCAATTATTTATTTTCATTCGCATGAACCAATTTACTTCAGGTTACGAGTTTAAATACCAACAATTGCAAAAGGAAAATAGTATGTGTTTATCATAAATATATATATTTTTAATAAAAAAAAGATTGAATAACTTAACTTACACAAAATTCACAATCCCTAATACGTTGTGAAGATGCAAATTTTACAATGACAGACTGAACCAAAAGGAAAATACATATGAAAAATTGGAACCATTTGAGGAAGTTCATGGAATATGTTCACACATACTCATATGTTGTAACAAAGAATTTGCTTTTCTTTGAGCTCTGTTTGTTCCAGAAACGGCTATTTCTCTCAGGGGCTCATAAACACCAAACTGGAGAGCAGCTAAAGTAATGGATGAATTGTTCAATCCCAACTCTAGTAGAACGGACACTGCGCATTCCTTGTTCTTAGGAGTCCCATTTCTAATGATTTCCACCAGAGTTTCGACGAACGACAATCGACCGATTTCGTTCCGGCCCTCGGGATGGGACACGAGAAGTAGCAAGATCGATAGTGCTTCGTCGATCATACCGAGGTTTTTGTCGTCGAGTAATCGGAGTAATGATGGTATTATGCCTGCTTTGATGGCTCTGGACTTGTTGGCTTGGTTCAAAGACAAGTTAAAAAGTGCAGTGGCAGCATCTTTTTTGCCCCTCATTGTCCCGGTTTGCAAGAGATCCACCAATGGTGGGATCCCGTTGAAGTTTCCTACAATAAATTTGTTCTCATCGAGCATCGATAAGCTAAACAAGGTGGCTGCAGCGTTCTCTCTACCTTCATCGGTCCCATTTTGAAGGATCTCGATTATGGCGGGGATTGATCCTTCTCTGGCTATAAGCCTTTTGTTTGTCTCATCAATTGACAAGTTCAAGAGGGCAGTGACAGTGTGTTCTTGAATGTTGGAATCTGGATAGGATAATAGCTTAACTAAAAGGGGGATTCCGCCGTTGTTGGCGATGAAAATTCGGTTTTCCGGGTTCTCTTTCGAGAGCATACGGATCTTCACGACAGCATCTTTGCGTACATTTGGCTGACTTGAAGATAGATTTTGAACCAATGAAGAGATTTCTTCCATTATTTCCGCAGAATAATTAACTGAAGATGCATAGCTATCTTTCTTGGGCAGTTCAAAGTTGTTCTTCTCACACCATTGCATAATAAGGTTAAAGAGCGCGAAATTCGGTGCTAGAGACAAGTGTTCTAAAGCTTGTCCAGTCTTCGGACATGTTCGATGGTTCGAATTCAACCACTTCCGAATGCTGTCTCTTTCATAAGTCTTCAACAAAAACCAGAAAAAGAAAACTACTTCAGTTTGCTAGAAACATGGAAGTAAATTTACTGCATACATAGTGTATTATAGTGACAGGTTAAATGCAACAGCTCGGTTAATACAGCAATGTGGGATTACCTGTCCGGTTGCTACAATAACAGGATCTGTCATGATTTCCAATGAAATTGGGCATAGAAACTCATGAGGTATTAAAGGAGACGGACATGTTTGGAGAGTTCTAGTGGAAACAGGACCGTCAAGCGAAACAGTTTCACCGATCCCTGCGATTTGCTTGAACTTTACCAGAAGATCTACAATTTGCTGCATGGTTTCACTATGTCCACCTCTCTGTTTCACCAGTTTCCCTATAGCTGTTTTTTCAGCTTTTAACTCTACAATGGTATGCAATTCGAGCTTGTGTGCTAGCCTTTCGAGTATGGGGATGTCTGCGTTCCGTTCATCGTCTTTCGAGAAAACCACCATCAAATCCATTGCTAACTCCATATCTTGTGTATCTGTCCTCCTCTTTGCTCTTTTAAGTTGCATCCGCATTAGTTCAACCTGAATTCAACCGAAATAATAATTCAACCAATGAACTAAGAAACCATGACGCCAGATGCAATAAGAACTGTCACAAGCACAACCGGCCGGCCAAATACTCTTATTTCCCCAAACTGCTCAGCATCGTGTCAACAATTCGATACCGTCCCCCAACACCGAATTATGGACACGATGATGTACGGCGTAGAGAATTCGAGTACCTAGTCCGCGGTAAGTCACCACAAGAACAAGAATTAAGAACTTCATATAAAGCAAGCCAGGCAATGATTCATCCTATAAATTGATTAACAATGTAGAAATCTATGTTCAAGCAATCAATTTCTTATGTAGTTCAATTTTTGCTTCGACACATGAATATGAGAATACGATCTCTAAAAATCTTTCAAATATATATAAAAAAATTTAAACACTCGAATCTGAATAATATTAACTAAAACAGAAAATGGATTAAGCTAAAATAAGATAAATGAAGCATTACTTGTTCTTTCACTTCAATTGAAACTCCAAGTTGATCATAAGGGATGCCATCAAGCGCCAGACTCAGTCTATCATAAATAGCATGAAATCTACACGTCAATGCCTCACTTTCCATTGCCTAATTTCAACAAACAGAAGAAATGCAAGATCCAGTTGAATCAGGGTCGAATTCAACAAAAACACTAAAAAAAGCCAAACAAAAAAGGAAACAATTGATGATTACCAAATATATCTTGCTTCCATAGCTACAATTCTTCAACAACTTCTTTGCTCCGAGCAGCGCTTTCTTCAAGTTAAGCAGAGAATCCAAACCCGAACCCGATACGTTAAGCTCCCTTATCTCCTCCAGGAGTGGCACCAAAAGCTTCATTCTCCTCACCAAATTCAAACACTCCTTCCTTTGAGTTACCCTGAATCCAGAATAAGATCCAACGGTCTCTATCACCTTCATCAAGTCACTGGCCACGTCACTGGTATCACCAACATTGGATGAACTCGAATCCATCGTAACCTGCCTCTCCATTGCAGACCGACGAGCTTTAAATCTGAAAAGGACAGTATGAAAAAGATAACTTGTGAGCTTTCGGTAAATAAAGAAATGGAGGGGTGTCAGCTGGTAATAAAGAAGAATTGTGATGTTTCAATGAACATGATGATGATTAATTTATTTTTATTTGGCGGTTTTATTGACGAGGGTGATGATTAGCAACGGTTTGTTCGCGGAATTTCCGGTTTACTAAAATTGGAAAACCGGAGGAGGAAAAGAACAAAAAGCGAAATCTGAAACAGTAATGTGGTTCACGCGGTTTATTGACAATGTGACGCGTATTCACGTGCACTCTTCTTCCACAATGTGGCCCAGAGGTGTAACCTAATTTAAAGTTTAAAAATAGTACAATGGAACGTGGGTATCCCGAACTACAACGCGCCCATACAAAGACAGGGCCGGATTTTGGTATGCAGTGCAATGTTTTTGTTTGGATGATTGACACCGATCGGAATCGCCTCGGTCGTCGCGCAATTGATGTTGGTAAGACGGAAGGGGGTGGCGGTGGGCGTGGGAATCGAAGTCTCCCCCACCATTTCCGTTGGGATGGGGCCGCCATTAAAACTAAAGTTGAAATAATGGTGCCAGCTCAAGTTGCCTCCCTGCTTCACGCTCCCTGCTCTTCCATTACATTACACACATGTATATTGTACAATTGATATTCAATGTATCAATTTAAGTTAACCAATGGTTAGTTTGGTGATCAGATGCTGAGTACCAAAAAAAGTTTGGGTTTTTTATATCATATATGATTTCATCTTATAGAATTCGAGTTTGAATAATTATATCGGTAGAATATGTGTTATTAATAGATTAAACTTTTTTTAAAATAGATATTATTTTATAATCACTTCAAATTATTTAAAAAGTTTAACACTTCTAATTTCTTTATTTATAAATTTAGTATCTTTGCTATTGATGTTGTGTTTGAAGCTTTCAAAAGTGAGATTGAATGTGAAATCTCTGAATGAAAAGCAGAGGTGGTGGACTTTGAAAGCTTTATAGTTAATGTTTTTGGTAGCTTGGATTAAAGCTAAGTATCTTTATAAGTTATTTATTGCTTAAAGTTTGTGATTGTTGAAAAAAATTAATGTTATAAAACGAGACGTTAGTACTAATTGGAAAATATTAAATAAAATATTTAAATAAAAAATCGATTAACCGTGTCGTGGTATTAACTCCTGCCTTATAAGCGAATTTGTCCCGATGTGTGTAATCGCTATAATGTACGAATGACCCCCGAGATTAACATGGCTCCGTACCCCTGAAATATAGAGTGGACTTGGTGGTACTACTCTCCTCTCAAAACTCAAAACGACACCCCGAACATGTTTATTAAAACCAATGAGAGTGTTTCTAAAGCAAACAATTTGCTTAAGGATGATTTCTCTTGAAGTGCATATGAAATGAAAAATTAAACATTCATTTATAGGCTTATCATAGAGGTAAAATGGTAAAAGATCCAACAACAGTTATAAAATAATTAATTATCATAAACATTATTTTAATGACCATAAACTATATTAAATATTTTGTAACGGCTATAAACGATAAAATAAACTCTGATAAATAATAATTTACTGGAAGAATCTTATCTAAAGAAACACATGCAAACTGAATCGGACCACGCCTAACGGTTCATACCCAATATGATATTCTTTTTATTACTAACAGTGATTAGTTCTATATGTGTTTTTTATGCTAATGAAAGTGTCTTTGGACAACTTGATTATATAAGCTATGATTCAGACAATTTATCTTTGAAAGCATGTTTAATTTTTGAAAGTGTGATACATGGTAGAAATTGTCCTTTTTACCACATAATCATGCTATAAATTTATCATTTTGGCCACAAGTATATGGTTTCTGTGCCAATTCGCTTATGCAGAATACATTATTTCATTATATGATTAGTTTTGAGTACCAGCTGTGAAAAGGTCATCTATTTGATTTTTATAAACCTTTTCGGGTTCTTTCGGAAACTGAAAGATGGACTAAAGAAGGGCATGGAGCAAGTTCAAAGAAGGGCTCTGAGTAGCATTGATCAGAACATTATAGGAGCTTCACTTCACCACTCTGGTTTGGTTACCAGACTAGAATGTCGAGGGTACTTTCGATACTTTTGTAACCTCGAACTCCATTATTACTCTTTTTGATGTTAATTAAGGTTTCATATTCATTAGTAGTGTCCTAGAAAGGAAAGATGAAGTTTGCAGAAAGAAGTCGGCTCTGGAAGAAAGACCAGACAACACAAGGTTCTGTCTAATTTGATTTTTATGTTCACTTTTCAGTACTTTCTCATACTTTTCGGTAAAAGTATATATACAAAAGTATATATTTGGCCATCTTACCTCAGGATTCTAGTAATATATATATACAAAAGTATATATTTGGTCATCTTATCTCAGGATTCTAGTAAGTGTGATAGAAAAATGACCCACATTTTTCATAGAAGGCGCTAACCCTTCTCACTTACATAGGTTATTTCATCAAGTTTATCTCGACATAAACCACCCTTAACAGGGATATGAAATAATTAAGAGCTTTTATAATAGCTCAATCTCACAAATGATATGATGACTTTCTTCAAGTTCATTATTAATGAACCACCCAAACTATGGGATAAGAAGTCATTAAGAATAAATATTCAACCTCATTAATCAGTAAATTCAATAAGTCCTTCTCACTAGAACCATCCAAATTCTTGGATTTAAATTTATTAAGAGTTTAACAAACTCAACCTTTCTGTCGCTAAGTTCATTATTTCATTCTCGTTTAAGACTACCCACTCACTCTGGGTTATAAACTTATTAAGAATAAATATTTAGTCAAAATTAGTAAATTCATCAAGTCTTTCTCACTAAGACCACTCAAAGACTGAGCTATGAATTTATTAAGAGCAATTAAGCTCATCCTGGGCATGCACATTATTCATCACAGGGATAGGCAGTAAGAATGTGCACTATGACTCTTTTCATGGTTTCGTTTGACCACATTGAACTTAGATAACTAAGTTGGGTATCCATCATGAATTCCTCAAGCAATGGGCTTTAGGCCCATCCCCGTCGACGAATCTAGGACCAGCTTCCTACTTAACCCTTTGGTAAGTGGATCTGCTAGGTTCCTTTCTGACTTCACATACTCTAAAGAGAGCACTCCATTCTTTATTAAATGTCTAAATGATTCATATTTTATGCTAATGTGTCTTTTCTTATCATTGTAAGTTTGGTTCTTAGCCACACATATCGCAACTTGTGAATCACACAAAAAGGAAACTGGAGGAGTCGGTCTTCCCCACAACGGAATATATGCTAACAAGGTTCTGAGCCACTCGGCTTCTTGCCTAAATAGGTCAAGAGCTATAAACTCTGACTCCATGGTAGAACGAGCAATACAAGTCTGCTTTGATGATTTCCACGAGATTGTTGCTCCATCTAAAGTAAAAACATACCCGCTCGTAGAACTTACCTCATCACTATCAGAAACCCAGTTGGTATCACAATATCCTTCCAGTACCATAGGATAGCCAACAAAGTCAAGTTTCCAATCCAAAGTAACCTTAAGATACTTCAGTAAGCGTCTAAGAGCAATCCAGTTTTCGATTATGAGTATATCTACTTAGTCTACTCACAACATAAGCAATATCAGGCCGAGTATAGTTCTTAAGAACATTAAACTTTTGATTAATTTAGCATATTCTGTTTGAGAAATGCTACTTCCTTTATTCTTAAAGAGGTATATGCTAGGTTCATGAGGGTTCGAACAAGGACGACATCAAAACTTTCAAATTTCTTTAACACTTTCTTAAGATAGTGTGCTTGACATAAAGAAAATCCCTTTTCAGTAATTTTGACTCCTAAGATTACATTGACTTCTCCCAGATCCGTTATCTCAAATTTAGTGGACAAGAAACTGTTTGTTTTATTAATGGACTCAATGTTAGAACTGAAAATCAACATGTCATCAACATACAAAACTTATGATGATGCAATCAGTACCAAACATCCTTGAATACATACAAGCATACGAACCATTCACAACAAAACCAAAACTAAGTATAGTTTTATGAAATTTCTTGTACCATTTTTTCCATATAGATCTCCTCATCTAGATCTCCTCATCTAGATCTCCATTCATAAATGCAGTCTTAACATCCATTTGATGTACTTGCAACTTACGAATGGAGGATAGTGCAAATAATGCACGGATCGTTGAGATGTTCATAACGGGGAAGTAAGAATCAGAGTAGTCTAAAACAAACTTTTGAGTGAACTTTTGCCTTGTACCACTGGATCAAACCATCTGGTCTCATTTTCTTCCGGAAGATTCATTTTCTACAGATTGGTTTAAATCCTCTAGGCAAGTCAACTAATTCCCAAGTATGATTAAACATTACCGATTCTAGTTCATCATTAATATCGTTTTTCTAGAAACTAGCATCGATAGATCTTATAGCTTTTTTAGGATTCTCATATAATATTTAAGCTATATGATCAGAAAGAGAATCTAAATCATTTATCTCAGAAATAAAGGAAGTGATAAAATTTGGTCCAAATAGCCTTTTATTTCTTCTAGGCTCGAAATCAATTTCTTGAGGATACCTAGTAGGAATACTATAAAAAGTTGATATAATATTTTCTATTAGAGTTTTTGCATTTAATCTACATTTTAAGACACCCCCACATTTCTAACATTTTAGGATATCCATAAGTGTCTTGTAAAACGTGTAAACAAATACTCAATCATACTACAGTAAAGTTTATTTAGCCATAAAACTATATTTTAACGAAATTAAGTTTTGTTTACACATAATTATATTCTCAAAGTTTTGAGAAGTTACAAATCATTAAGATTTAAATGCATAAACCAATATGAAATTCTTTATGACTTTTCCTCATTTAAAATGAATTTCGATTTTTTCCTAACATCATGAAAAATGATCTCAAGTTTAAAACAAGAGATTTTAGCACAAATTCTGAAATAGATAATCTTTTTTCTGTCATCTACTTAGGAAAATCACTTAAAGAGATTTAATAGTTACAACACACTTTTAATAGCAATAGAGTCTATCATATTCTCATT